CCCCCCCAGAAGGGGAGGAAGAAGGGGGGCCCCCTCCATATGATCCGGGGCCCCCACCTGAGGATGAAGGGCCCCCACCGTAAGAGGGGCCCCCAGATTGGGGGCCCCCGTACGGGGGGCCCCCCGGTGAACTGTAGGGGCCCCCGTACCCTCTACTACGGTTTGATGGGGTACCCCATGAACCCCCCCGACCCCAGGAAGAGGAATAGGGGGCCCCCGCCCAGCTGCCGCCTCGCCCGCCGCGGTATCCTCCTTCACCGCGCTGCAGAAGCAACAGCAGCAGCAGCAGCAACAGCAAATACAGCAGCAGCAGCAGCAGCAGCAAATGAAGCAGCAACAGCAGCACGAAATGAAAAGAGAAGAAGGCTAGAGAACAGACAAGAGGAGAAACTGCTGCTGTTGATGCTACCGCTGCAGCACAAGTAGCAACGAAGCCAGAACAAGCAAAAACAGCAGCAAGAAGAACAGCAGCAACAGCAGCAGCAGCAGCAATAGCAGCAACAGCAGCAACCGCATGCAGCAACTCACCATGTATCCTCCTCTGCGTACGGGCCCTTCTCTTCTCTCTGTCCTTCGCTCCCTCCTCTCGGCCTCCACGATATCATCTGAGGTGTACAGACACCACAAACACCCAATGCAACTGCTGCTGCTGCACCTGCTGCTGTTGCTGCACCTGCTGCTGCTCTCACTCCTGCAGCTGGCACTGCAGCTGCTGCAGCATCTGCTGCTGCTGCTGGGGCAGCAGTAAGCTCTAGCGCCATGGCAGCAAGAGATATATGCACAGGCCTCCTGCGATGCAGCTATGCAGCAGCAGCAGCAGCAGCAGCAGCAGCGGCAGCAGGAGCATCAGTAGCAGCAGCAGCAGCATGCGCTCTCGTGGCCGCTGTCGTACCAAGGGTCATATCTAGCATTGACTTCGCCATTTTGCTGCTGCTGTTGTTGCTGTTGTTGCTGTTGTTGCTGCGGCCGCAGCTGCGAAGAGTGCCGCACGAGGTGCTGCTGCTGCTGCC